TACGAAGAAGTTGGTGTTGACAGCGCAGAGGAAGAGGGTGAAGAAGAAGGAGAGGAATACTAAAAAGTGATCTGCGATCCACATTAAGTTTGTTCGACATCAATTGATGACCCTGTTTATTCATGCAGTAAAAAGGAAAATTCAATTTCTGTATTACGTTTTATAGTGCTTTGCTATTAAAATAATATTTCTTCTTTATACTGAAGACAACTGTTAGTGGATACTGCTTTTGTGATGCGGTTTAAGGAATATCGGAAACGTTTGTTGATACATATTTTCGATTAATGGAAAACTGCAATCTTAAATGTAGTACTGGATGTCGAAAAGTATTTGTCTTTTTATTGTAAAGTAATTTTTATAGAAAAAGACGCATTCAACTACGCTTAAGACAATTATACTATCCGCAAACAATATATTGACCTCATGTTTTACAGAATTCGCAAGCAGTTTAATACATGGATAATAATTCCCGCGTAAATGAGCCTATGAAATTTGTAGTGTAATAAGACTGGCGTTACCTTGGCAATGTCATGTCACTAACGCGCCAAACGTAACCGATTCAAACGTCATGCTGTGTTCATGTGAGTAATTGAATATATCTAGTTTTGTTRGGCTTAACGCCATAGCAAGATACATGAAAACGTCATTACATGAATAATGATACAGTGATATATGAAGAGCGGTTTATGCTTTTTGGATAATACTGCTGATAATACTTGATGAATATTGCAAGTCAATAAAGTATTTCGAGAAGTAAAAATGAATAACACTAAATGATTTTTATTAGTCTTCAATGTTTTAAACATTTTTTTTTAAAAAAGTCGACAAGTTCAGTGTTATTCAGAAGAAAATTCTTCTTGAATTCATCATGCTGTAAACAGCGAAACAGGTATGCGTGCATAACCAATTTCTCTTGTATAAGAACCTGCTGTGCTTCTAGCACTTTGTTGTCTGTAAAACTCCACAAGAGCTCTCCTATATTATTTTCATARGACCCAATCACCATTCAGCRGCCTAGCGATGTATGAAATGTTTCTTGTTTTTTATGCATGGCAACTGGTTTGATTATCGAACATTCAACTCTGTCTTCCATACAAAGTGGTCGTTACGCCTAAATTGTAGGATCGGAATTTCACATCTTTTAAAGATTTTGATACCTTTTTACAAAYAATTCTAAAAATAATTCAATATGGTAAGTTTGTACTATTTTGAAATATTATGATTGAGGACTGTTACTAAACGAATACGAGCGCCAAAAGTTTCATTAACTTCCAGAAGTATCATTAAGGTGTCTGCCTTGAAAGTCTTTTGCTCGACTCTTCCGTATAAGCATGCATATTTATAGCGTAAATTTGTCTGTATTTTTTAATATCAGATCGTTAACGATAGATCAAAACATGGCTCATATATTTTAGTATCCAAATTGTGCTTGTATTTCTTTATCTGCAGTTTCAAACAACTGTATGTATTTGTTAGACACCCGTTTCATCGTTTCGAGCTTTTTTATTTAGTTGAATACTCTGCTGTTGTCTACAACAGAGCTAACTATGAAAATTTTGATTCTTTTCAGCGCGAATGTATCTCAATTCATGTCGGCCAAGCCGGTGTTCAGATAGGCAATGCTTGTTGGGAGTTGTACTGTCTTGAACATGGAATCCAGCCCGATGGTCAGATGCCGAGTGACAAGACGATTGGTGGCGGCGACGACTCGTTCAACACTTTCTTCAGCGAGACAGGTGCAGGGAAACATGTNCCTAGAGCAGTCTTCGTTGACCTTGAACCAACTGTTGTCGGTAAGTCAAAAATTAAACCAGACACTGCTATGGCAACTGCAATTTTTATTGACAGGTCGGGCTCCGGAACGCGTTTTGCTTCATTGTGCTTGCGCTGTGGTTATTGTTTCCATAGCAACAATACAACCAATCAAAAATAAAAAGGTTCACAACTATGCGAGAGTATTCTTGGTTGGAAATGTAAAAAATGGTTAAGGTTGAAAATTTTTGAAATTTCTCGCGCGCTCAAAACCTTTCGCCTTTTTTTTACTTCTACTATTATTGATTTGTGTAATTTACTAGTATCAAAACCCTTTACATTGTATGTCGATGAGTGCTGTCTATTGATAATAAAGTCACAACCAGTGCTCTATGAAGTTTTGTTTTTAATTTTAGTGAGGCTGGATTCTTCTAAAAAACGTGGAAGAATTCCTCTGTTTCAAATTCCCCCCCCCCCCCAAAAAAAAGAAATAATGATGACAATTAAAAGTTCTCGTTTTGATTTAGATGAAGTAAGAACTGGAACCTACCGTCAGCTATTTCATCCCGAGCAGCTCATCACTGGTAAAGAGGACGCGGCCAACAACTACGCCAGGGGTCACTATACTATTGGCAAAGAAATCATTGATCTCGTGCTTGACAGAATTCGCAAGCTGGTGAGCTGATAAACGCTTGGATGATTACTCTTTATGAAATATTTAGTATAAAGATGCTCGAGTAAATGTCGAAGAACAATTGTTCTGTTTGCAAGTTAGTTGCAGCGTGTGGTGTCGCGGTGTAAAAAGCAAGAAATTGTATTAGTATACATAGCCCTTTATAAGCAAACGTACAAGAATGACCTATAGTTCCAAAATTGAGATTATTCCTTTCAGATTGCGAGAAAATAGAACACAAACTTTTACAAAGAACTTCTTGATTTCGAATTTCTGGTACGAATTTAAATTTGGTCTATTTTTTCCATAGTTTTCATAAATCTTCTTGTTCTTTCAGTCTGATCAATGTACTGGTCTTCAAGGTTTTCTGATCTTCCATTCCTTTGGTGGAGGAACTGGCTCTGGATTTTCCTCCCTTCTCATGGAACGTCTGTCTGTTGATTATGGAAAGAAGTCAAAACTTGAATTTGCAAT